AAAGGCATCTCAAACGGTCTCGGAGGGGTTTCGCGCTGCTGGACGGGCTCGTCGCCGCCTGCTCCACGGCAGGACACGGACTCTCCCCTCCGCCAAAGTCACAAGCACAAAATGAAATTAAAAAAGCGCTTCAGGGCTGCAGGAACCAAGTGACACCCGCAAACTATCTGAGAGTGTGTGTTTCCAATAAATCAGCAACAGGTTTAACACAGCATCTAAAACCGACACAGCGCCTGCCCCTGCACAGCCGGTACTTCACCTGCTGGAAGCAGCCTGGGAACAGAAGCCACCCCGCAGTTAACCGAAGGCACACCGGGCTGCGCATCCCTCTGCTCGCACGGTCGCGCTGCATCCCGGCTGCTCCAGCCTCAACGGAGCTCCCGGGAAAAGCCCTGGTCCCCGGGGACACCATGGGCCACCTCCGCTGCCAGCTCGCACCCTGCAGCCGAGCCTGCGCCCGCTCTCCTGCAGCTTGGGAATGAGAGGCGGCTTTAAGGCATTCAAGGGATAGGAGAGGTCAGAAATGGGCCAAACCGTCCTGTGCCCACACACGTGCACACACGCGTGCACCAGCACCCTCCAGACCCCGCAGTACCGTTCACGGCGCACGGATGGTGGGACAGAAGCAGCACGCGCTACTTCGAGCCACAAAACTCTTTGCAAACCAGCCCCAGGAGTGACCCGCGCCTGTGCTTCCCCTCGCTTGCACGCTACCACCCGGGGATCGAAATGCACCGGGACAGCAGCTGCTGCACAGCGGTGAGTGGAGATGCAACACATCCTGCAGACGCTCAGCTGCAGTCAGTTCACCTCCTGCAATTTTTGTTGTTGCTCTATCCCTACACCTGCCTTTAATTTTGGGGTAAAACCCCTTCCTGCAGCATCAGCGTCACCCTCAACAGCCTCTGCCCAGGCGTCGGGATGCTCTGGCCATCCTGCCCAGCTCCCGCACGCGAAGGTTTCAACTCCACGAGCGCACGTTGCTCAAACACCTCTGGGCAGGAACCAGTGTGGGACGGAGAAAAATTGGGCTGAAAACACAAGGAATCAGCAGCGGGGTGCCAGCGGGGCGGCTGGGTGGGGATGAGGGCTGGCAGGGAGCACCCCCAGGCTCTGTGCACCCTGCACGTCCCTCCTGGTGCACCTCGGGTGGTGCTGAGCAATCTGCAGGGGCTGCAGGAAAGATTTGGGGTGAGGTAGGAAAAAACCCCAAAAACTTAAAAAAAAAGAGCATCGCACTGCTCAGAAGGGAGAGGGGAGATTTTAGGGGGTTGGCAACAGAAGAGGGCACAGAGCGCCGGGAGGGGGACAGGGTCCCACGGGGGGAGTGCAATGGGTGCGGGG